AGGTTTCACCATGTTGGCCAGGCTGGTCTTGAACTCGTGACCTCAGGTAATCCACCCACCTTGGCCTCCCAAAGCGTTGGTATTACAGGCGTGAGCCACCGCGCCCAGCATTGAAGTGCATTTCTAATAGACAAGTAGTTTTAATTGCCTCTTATTTTATTTTTCTGTTTAGAGATAGGATCTCACTTTGTCACCAGGATAGAGTGCAGTGGCATGATCATAGCTCACTGTAGCCTCGAACCTGGGCTCAGGGCATCCTCTTGCCTCAGCCTCCCAAGTAACTGGAACTAGAGGCACACCCTGCCACACCTTGCTAATTTTTTCTTTTTTTTTTTAAGAGATAGAGGTCTCACTATGTTGCCCAGGCTGGCCCCTCGCTCCTGGCCTCAAGCAATCCTCCAACCTAAGCCTCTGAAAGTGCTGGGATTGCAAGTGTGAGCCACGGTGCCCAGAGATATGTTTAATCCTTAGATGGTTTTAAACTTGCTGTATACTAAAGAGCTTATGAAACATGATATTTTGGTATTTGTTGTGACTTTACCACTGGCCTTTTGGAGCAAAGAAAACCCTTCTTCTCCATCACTTTCAGCCCATCCCTGAGCAGTATGGGCTGACTGACAAGGGGGACCCGTGTACTTTTGCTGCCTGCTGGTGCACACGCTTCGCTGAATCCCAGACTGAGCACATTGGTTGCCATGTGCAAGTGCTACAGCCTCGGCACACTGCTGACCACACATGCATCCTCCTGATCAGTTCCCATGAGTGGCCATTCCTGCACTTCAGGAGCAATGGGCCAGGCCATACCAGTGCTGGGAAAGTGGCTTCGCCCTGACCACATCATCTTCTTAAGGATGTCTCACTTGTCTCCTCTCCCAGTTCCAGCCCCAGCCCCTTGCTGCCCCTACCTGAGATGTTCTGTTAATTCAAATATCCCAGTGGTGAGGAATATGCAGTACCCTTATGGCTGGGTCAGGTTAAGAGGGAAACTTGTAAGACGCACTTCTGAAATTTCACAGGGAAGTATGGATCTTCAAATTCAGCTTCTAGTTCAGCAGGTTAGGGACGGAGTGTGAGAGTCCGCATTTCTAACTCTCTCCCACGTGTCATCGTGTTAGTCCATGGAACATAGTTAGAGTGAGGAGGTAATAAAAGACATGGTTAGATAGGCAGTAAGGTTACAGTTTTATAGGATAAGTTATACTTTTAAAGATAGGTTACACTTTTTTTTTTTTTTTTTTTTGAGACAGAGTCTCACTCTGTCATCCAGGTTGGAGTGCAATGGTACGATCTCGGCTCACTGCAACCTCCGCCTCCTGGATTCAAGTGATTCTCCTGCTTCAGCTTCCAGAGTAGCTGGCACTACAGATGTCTGTCACCATTCCCGGCTAATTTTTGTATTTTTAGTAGAGACGAGGTTTCACCGTATTGGCCAGGCTGGTCTCGAACTCCTGACCTTGTGATCCGCCCATCTCGGCCTCCTAAAGTGCTGGGATTATAGGCATGAGCCATCGCACCCAGCCTTTTATAGGATTTTGAGCAGAGAGGTGATGTTTGGTTTGTGTTTGAAGAAGCTTACTCCTACTGGTGGGCAGAGAATAGATGGTAGAGGGGAGCTGGGAGACCAGCTTAAAAGCTGTAGTTGTAGTTTCAAGAGAGGTTGTGCTGGCGTGGGTTAGGGTAATGTTAGCGGATATCGACAGAAGGTTGTGTATTGAGAAGTCTAGTTATGAACCCAAGCTGTGTTTTTGGAGCCAGGTTCCAGGGTGGGGAAAGGCCCCATCAATCCCACTATTTAGCAGTTCTGGATATAAACAGAGGATCAGTGGTGATTGTCTTCAGTGCAGTAGAGAAGAGTGTGTGGCTCTAAAATATGATGGTAGAAAGGGTTCTCACACTAGTCTGAGAGGTTACGGGAGGCTTCCCCAGTGGGACTAATTCTCAAAGCCTGAAGGTGGCTGGGTGCAATGGCTCACACCTATAATTCCAACACTTTGGGAGGCTGAGGTGGGCTGATCACTTGAGGTCCAGAATTCCAGACCAGACCAACCTGGCCAACATGGTGAAACCCTGTTCCTACTAAAAAATACAAAAATTAGCCAGGCATGGTTGCACATGCTTATAATCCCAGCTACATGGGAGGCTGAGGCAGGAGAATGGCTTGAATCTGGGAGGTGGAGGTTGCAGTGAGCTGAGATCACGCCACTGGACTCCAGTCTGGGCGAAAGAGTGAGACTTCGTCTAAAAACAAAACAAAACAAAACCTGAAGGTTGACTAGGAGTTACACAGGCAGGGGCAGCTCCCAAAGGATTTCTGATGGAGCAAAGGAGAGAAGAGAGTCAACTATGAGTCTTATTTTCAGAGCCCCTGGGTGCTGCCCCTCACTCAGAGGAGCGAGGCCAGGGGAGATGATTGGAGGGGAAATGAAGGGTTATGTTTTGTAATCACTCATGGCGTGTTTGAGTCAAACAAGCGAAGTGTTGACTAGAGTATTGGATCTGGAGCCTGAGAGAAAGATCTCAATGAAATTTTGAGAACATTATCATATGGATGCTATTTGACACTCTGGGTCTAGCCGAGGCCACCTTGTTTCAGGGTAAGGGGCAAAGTATAGCAGAAGACAAATGCTCAGGAGACCAATGACTGTCCACCTCCGAGGTTAGCAGGAGGAGCAGCCTGCAATAGACTGGGCAGGCCAGTGACTTAGGAGGAGAATGAGTTGGGTGTCCCTTCCCGGAATCCTCCAGGAGAGGGTATTTAAAGATGGGAGAGTGGTCACCTATGTCACGAAACCAAACTGAGTTTCCTTTACTTCTATCTATATTCTCCTGTATAAAAGTCCTCCAGCTGTTTGGAAGGCTGAGCTGGGAAAATCACTTGAGCCCAGGAGTTTCAGGTTACGGTAAGCTGTGATCACACCACTGCACTCCAGCCTGGGCCACGGAGTGAGACCCCAGCTCTTTAAAAATAAAAAAAGTCCTCCAATAAACTGTTTTTAGCCATTTTCCAGTAAGAAAAATCAAAAGTTTCATGTTGTAGTAAGGGTGGGATTAACATTCACACATTCTTTCTAGGCTGTGGACTTCCCAGGGTTGTGGAGACCAGTATTTTTTATTTTATTTATTTTATTTTATTTTTTATATTTTATCTTTTTGAGATGGAGTCTCACTCTGTCACCCAGGCTGGAGTGCAGTGATGCAATCTCGCCTCACTGCAAGCTCTGCCTCCCGGGTTCAAGGG